AAATCATTATTAACGAACTACCGCCACAAGTAAGATTAAATAACCCTATTTTATGTGGGTTATGGTTCGGCAAATCCAAACCAAACATGAACGTTTTTTTATCACCATTTGTCAAAGATGCAAAAGAAAAGTATTGCATTTTGGGAATACCGTGCAAAATACTTGGAGAAATCAGGCATATTAATTTATATTTTTTAATTTGTTGCGTGGATTCAGTTGCGCGTCCCACTATGCAAGGGACTATCCAATTTAATGGTAAGTATGGGTGTAATTGGTGCCTTCACCCGGGAGAAAATGTCCAAGGAATTACAAAATATACAATAATGTATCCAGTGCCAGATTTACGAACAGAACGTGAGACGTTACAACAAATGGAACAAGCAATTTGCAATAATGTGATAGTAAAAGGTATAAAAACTTCGTCTTGTTTGATTAATCTTCCCAATTTCAATATAATATCGGGCTTTGTTCCAGATTACATGCATTGTTGCTTATTAGGAGTGGCTAGACGATTTGCTGAAATTTGGTTTACTTCATTGATTCCAACAAGTGATATTGATATCATGTCACAACATTTACTCCAAATTAAACCACCTCGTCAAGTTACTCGTTTAGCACGTCCAATTAATGAACGGCGTTACTGGAAAGCCCGAGAATGGGAAAATTGGACATTATTTTACAGTATTCCAATTTTAAAACGCTTTTTACCAGCAAAATATGTAGAACACTGGACCTTATTTGTTGACGCGTTGCACATTCTTCTGCAAACAAAGATTAATGTTACTGAAATTGGCATTGCTGATTTGAATTTGTGCAATTTTGTAAATCAAACGCAAATAATATACAGCTCTACAGAAATGACATTTAACATTCATCAGTTACTACATTTGACAATGTTCGTTGTAATTAATTGGGGCCCACTGTGGAGTTGTTCAGGATTTCCTTTTGAAAATGGTAATGGAAAATTAATTCAAAACATAAAAAATGCAAAGGGGATTCCACTCCAAATTTGCCGATATATTGCTTTTAAGCAAGCCGAAAATTTGATAAGCGACATTGTCGAGCCTGTTTGTAAACCAGCAGTTAGACAATTTTGTAACAGAATGAACAATGAGTCATCTGATACCTTAAAACTAAATGACATCCGTTACTTTCAATCGACGGATTCTGTTTCCGTAACGTTAATTGAACTTATTCCTTCTTTAAATACTGAAAAAACTCGTTGTTACTTAAAAATGATTAAAGATGGAAATCTTTATGCCTCAATGGATAAATGTAATCCTCGTACCGATGACTCATTTGCTCAACTCACCGATCTCTCATTTGTAAGATTAAAAACTTTTATTATTGACGAGGAACAAGATCGTCAATACATTATTGCTTACAAAATTGACTTGTGTCAACAACAAAATGATTGTGGTAAATATTTGTATAAGTATAACTCGATTAGCGAAACACCTGATGTATACTGTGTTAATGATGTGTTAAAAAATAGCGTTAATATATGCATAGGTAATGATAAGTATGTATGTCCATTTCCAAATAAACTTGTTTTACTGAAGAGGTGATTGTTATTTAGTAATTTTTGTCAATGTAAAAGTTATTGGAGTAAATGCAAAGTTAAAATATAAAATATATATGTTTTGTAAATCATACACAAATTCGTATTATTTTTATTATAATGTAATTACTTCATTCCTTTTTATTTTGTTATAATTTCGTGGGTTTATGAGAACCGCGTTGGTAAAGCAACTCAGGAAAGCAGAGGACGGTTTCAAAGATTGGATATAATTCCTTCAAACGTTACAATGTGGTCCTTCGCGATTCCTGCAATCGGAAGTGTCCCTCCGTTGAGAGAGAGACCGCACGTAGCGCTCCCGCGAGCTTCTCTATGTCCCTATAGCGTTCCTATTCCTAATTATACCCAGCAGCGCTATTACCGCGGCGCACAATATCGAATCTCCTAACATATATATTTAAACACAATTTAATACTTTGTTGAAATCAATTATTGAGTCGAAGCATAATAATGTATTTTATTTAAAAATATATATATATGGATTTTATGGAGAATCAATGGATTTTTTTATATATGTTTTAATAAATGTTTATGTTTATAATATGTTTAATAACGTTTGGTACTGTGGCTCAATCGATTTAGTGACGCGGCGCATTGACGCGATCGATATACTCGCGCATATAATTAAAATAAAGTCAATTATCTATATTCTTCATAAAATAATACATATACATTTTCAGAATGCAATAGAGATCAAAATAGCATTATAAAAATTATTAAACCATTCAATGTTTTTAACAAATTATATTATTAACTGGTATTTGTTCAGTGCTCAAATAATTCATCCCATCCTATAGTATACCATATTCATACCCATCTTATACCCGATGCAGAATCCATGTCCTATATGAGTCCTATGTATTACCATTCTTGCCCTATGTGGTATACCTATACATTTTTATATGGGACTGTTACGGTCCCATATGGGACCATTACGATCTTACGTAGAACCTTCATGGTCCTTCGTGGGACCTTCATGGTCCTTCACAGGACCTTTATGGTCCTTCACAGAACCTTTATGGTCCTTCACTGGACCTTCATGGTCCCGTATGGGATACCTATGGGAATTCGCGGCAGGGAGCGCAAATAGTATTTTCTCTTGACACTGGTAATTATCCAATTGTCATGTTTATTCTGCTGCAAGAAGAGGAGAAAAATGAATCAAATATTTAATACAAAGATTGGTATTTACAGTCGAATCTAACATTAAAAATTGTCCTAAATGAATTTGTGATGATACTATAATATTTACATTGTTGAGTATAAAGTTATGACAGATGTTATAATGCAACTGATGCTCTTACGTTGGTCGACTAAAAAGTATATGTTTCATTAATATAGTTTGCGATCTTAGGATAAATTTAAACTATCTTTACATCAGATCGGACTATAAATATCAGCTTTACAATTAATTTTATATTGTAATATGCGTTTATTTTATTCTTATAAGTAAACATGCACATTTTAATCATTGTTTATAATTGAATGACATTGAACAACCTTATATATATAGAAAATAATTATGTATTTAACATAGGAGCTATATCACATTTTAATCATTGTTTATAATAAAATAACATTAAATAATCATATAGAAAATAATAATAATAATGTGTTTAACATAGAAACTACATATATATTTTTCTCTTACACATTTAGAAAAATAAAAATATAAAACAACAAAACGTATAAATATCACATAGGAAGCTATAAAATAATTTTAAAAATATAAATAAAATCTTTAATATATAGCTTGTTCATGTGTAGCGAGTTAAAAATTTTTCCAGAAATAAGTAATTTCTCGTATATAAATTAATAATTAATGTTGCAAAATTATTTCTTTCCTATGTCCTTTTTGAGTCTTAAATGTACTGTTAATACTTCTAATAGTAAAAAAAAGACGAACTCGAGCGAAAAGCTTTATTAAATATTTCTTTGGAAAATTAGGACATGGATGTTCGAATTGCACGTGAGAAAAAATTTCAATCAAATTAGCTACAACACCTTTTTGCAATATTAATGTCTCTATATTTTGAAAAAAATTGTTTTCCAAAACTTTTATATATGTAACAAAGTCATCAGTTGGCATGAACAAACTACCATACATGCTATTTTCTGTTGATTCGTAAGCTCGAAAAAAACAATAATATGAATTATTATTCAAGTCTACATACTCTCTCGCATAATTAAGACAAATATCACAGGAATGTTTCATGGTGCATTTTCGCATTAAATATCCACAAACATAGCGAAAAGCATTTTGTTCTGATAGACTTATGTTTCGATAATCATGATCATCGACTAAAATCGATGTTCTTTTATCTTGCTGATTTACATCCGCATGTACATACACTCGCTCACTAAAAGGTTGCGACACTTTTTTTTTTATAGGTTTCTAATTTATATTTAATATACGTAATATATATTTTATAGATAACTAATATTTTGCAAATGCAAACCACGATGTACTATCTTTAGTT